ACACACTGGTCCGCTGATCACAGAGCGAGAGACAAGAAAGGCAAGGCTCACCAAGCCATTTATCTCTCTGCCCTTCAGTCAATCCCACCTGCGTTTATCAGCCAGGCTGGCACAATAAATTATCTCAGGTACTCGTAAATCGAGTATTTTTAAAGTGGCACTGGAAGAATAGTTGGATTCTTATGTGTGTTTCCTAGTTTAAAATAAGCTGTTTTCTTAATTCAAGGTGGCATAACGTACACTTTCAATTTTAGGGTTTGAACAAGAGTCATCTTTCTATTAGTAAATGCTCTTGTTTATGGGAGTTCAGCATAGCAATGCGGCTAACACCCCATCCAAGTGCTTGTTTGGACTGTGACATGTTTATAAATTCCTAGACGTGCCCGTACAATTCAATGAGAAAACACAAGAATTGAAGTCATTCATTCCCTCCCAAAACTGACCTATTGACAACATTTAGCAAGCAGTAAAGCATTTTCTGAAGTGTTACATCACCAGTGCACACAATGAGAGTGAGCCAAATGAGAGGGGGCCAGTGAGGGAAATCCATTTTGACAGCTCAGGAAGTACTTGTATATGTGATAGGACCGTTTGGCATTGACTTTCTGATGTGTTGGTAAGACAACTATTACTTGACACTCCAATAGTAATATATGGTAAATAATTTGCAGCAAAAGAGGTTTTTTTTTTCTGTTGAAAAGGTGCTTTTGAAATACCTACTTTAGACTCAATACTGAGTGGATCCCAACCATATAAAACAAACATTTACCCATTCCTTCTTAAAATATTTATAGTTCCCATTGTGGCGAGTGCCTTACTAAAGCAATTGAGATGGGTATACAGCAATAGTTAATTCTACTAGAGGAAATAGAACTTAAGCTCACTTTCATTTAGAAATTTCCAGATTCCAAGAAGATCAAGGAAATTAGCTTGGTCATTAGAATTTGCTTCTGTCTCTAATAGAGTTACCTGAACCTTAAAAGATCATCATTAAAATGTAAGCAATGAGGGGGAAAGGTGATACTATGGGAAGTATTCTTTAAGAAAGCATCTAGGACAGTGGTTCTCAACCTTCTTAATGCCATGGCCCATTAATACAGCTCCTCATGTTGTGGTGACCACCCCCAACCATAAAATTATTTTCATTGCTACTTCATAACTGTAAGTTTGCTACTGTTATGAGTCATAATGTAAATATTGATGTGCAGGATGTATTTTCATTGTTACAAATTGAACATCATTAAAGCATAGTGATTAATCACAAGAACAATATGTAATTATATATTGTGAAATATTTATTTCTAATGACAAATAAATGAAGTGTTGTCGTGTAGCATGGGCAACAGTCATCACGCAGGGTACTCATATGTGGGCCTATCTGCCTGGAGACGGATAGAGGAACAGTGTCTCGGTTCCTAAGACCATCGGAAAATTATTATTATTTTGTCATATGTTACACTGTCTGACGTCTCCCTCCACCCTCTTCTCTGCTGTCCATCCCCCAGGGAGGAGGCTATACATAGATTCTTATAATCTGTTGCCCCTTTCCACCCCACATTCCCTCCACCCTTAGCAGGCATCGCCACTGTCACCACTGGTTCTGAAGAGGTCATCTGTCCTGGATTCCCTGTGTTTCCAGTTGCTATCTGTACCAATGTACATCCTCTGGTCTAGCCAGATTTGTAAGGTAGAATTGGGATCATGATGGTTGGGGGGAGGAAGCATTTAAGAACTAGAGGAAAGTTGTGTGTTTTATTGGTACTATACTGCACCCTGACTGGCTCATCTCCTCCCCACAACCCTTCAGTAAGGGGGTGTCCAGTTGCCTACCAATGGGCTTTGAGTCTCCACTCTGCAATCACCCTCATTTACAATGATATGATTTTTTGTTCTTTGATGCTTGATACCTAATCCCTTCAATAGCTTGTGGTCACACAGGCTGGTGTGCTTCTTCCATGTGGGCTTTGTTGCTTCTCAGCTAGATGTCCACTTGTTTACCTTCAAGCCTTTAAGACCCCAGACGCTGTATCTTTTGATAGCTGGGCACCGTCAGCAAGGGGGTCTTTTGATGTATGGCTGTAACAACGACATAGAGCCTCTCCAAGGAACCCATTGCTTCCCATCCCCCAACCCCCGCCCCGAGTTCCCCTCACCCCAAATCAGAGGTGAGATCACTCTGATGACTGCTATATTTAATGAAGATGATCATCTGAGACAATTCTGAAATTTAAGCACCAGATGTTGATTTATGACTAAAGAGACATGCTTGGGTTGGAACATTGCCTAAGATATGTATAAGAACAGTACAGCTAAACCATTGCATTCAATAGTGTTAGGCTTTGTTTACAGTAAAGCCAAATCCGAATTCCTCAAGAAGTGAAGCTTCAAGTCAGTGTTTCCTGCTTATCGGAAGTATATAATCTTCCAACACCCCCATGCACCACAGCCACCTCTAACCTGAGACCAGAAATTCTGCATGGTGCCCAGCTATCACGATTGACCTCCCTGACTACAATCACAAAGGAAGGACCTGGTTAGACTGGGTTAAAAAAAAATTAAATTTGGTAGAACCAAATTCAGAGCCCCACTCACTAACCCCAACCAGATTTACTGCTCTGAAACAGACCAGAGCACTCTCAAGACTAGTACCCGAGAAAACCTTCTAATTGGAAACTGATGACATCCCCAGAGGCCACCTTTCAGTAAAATAAGACTATTAAACCCCTGGGACACCAGTGTCCACAATGGTTGTGGCACTTCCTTACAAAGTTGGAAAATAGAAATACTTTATGATCCAGTCATCCCAACACTTGGTATGTAGCCTGGAGAAATAAGAGCCATGACACGAATAGATTTATGGACACCCATGTTCACGGCAGCAGCATTCGTTCATAGTAACAGAATGATGCAAGTACACCAGAGAGAAATACCCATTCATCGAAAAGTGTATAAGGAAATTATGCTACAAACACATAACGGAATACTATGCCACGCTGAAGAGTAACAGAACTGCGAGACACCTCATAATGTGACTGAACCTCAAGGACATTACATTGGGTGAAATTAGTCGATCACAAAAGAACATGGTATGAGACCATGATTATAAAAAGGCAAGTGGTGGGAGGGGGGCGGGGGGAAATGAGCTGATACCGAGGGTTCACGCAGCAAGAACATGTTTTGAGAATGGTGGTGGCCACACATGTACAAATGTGCCTGACACATGGACGGATGGACAGATTGTGATAAGAGCTGTACGAGCCCCCCATAAAAGTATTGTTTTTTAAAGTCAGGAAATGAGCTTGACACTAAATGTTCGTTGATGGCTCCCAGGGGTGTGAGGAGAAAGGAGAGGAAAGGACCAGACGAAAGACACGTAATACCTTGGGGCAAAGGGAAGGCCGTGAATCAATAAAAGGCGTTGGTTGTAAAAAGAAGAAACAAAAGCCAAGAAGTATGGAGGAAAAAAAGCAGAAATAAAAACAGAGACACATTGGTATATGTTATGTGCAAAAAGCAAACAAACCAGAGAAGACGGTAGTACGGAGAACAGCCAACTCTAGAGACCAAGGGAGGTCACAGCTGAAGCTGAGATGTCTACGAGGAGGCACGGGAACCAGGCTGAGTGGCGATGGGACCACTGGGTGGGAAGAGGAAAAGTGTTGACCCGTCATGGGATTTGCATCCCATGGTATGGAACAATTTATGTCTGAACGCATGTTGGGAAAATTCAGTGTAAACGTTCACCTACAACACAATAAAATGCTTTAACAGAAAAGAGAGTGATGGTCCTAATTCCAGGAGAATAATCTCCTTTTTTAAGGATGGAGAGTTCAATGGGAATTCAGATTTGTGATTCAATTTTGAGATCAGTGTTCCCAATGAATAAACTTGGCAAAGGAGGATAGAAAGAGAACGGCTCGTTTTGCAGAGTAACATGTTCCTTATTTTGTGATTTCATTATTTGGTTTGGAACTACTGTATTGACTTTGGGTTTGTCAGGGTCTTTACATCCATCTTCTTCGCACCAATGGGCAGCCAGGGCAGGGAATTCATTTGCATTCCAGCCAACAAATAAGATAGGTTTTAAATGGCTTGTCAGTTTTCAGCTAGGAGGTGAATTCTTTGGGCTTCGTTGAACATTGGTGTAAGAAATACATCTAATAATCAATTGAGTCTCTTTCATACTTTCTCTTGTCTTTCCTACTTCTTAGTGGTAAAATTACAAGAAAATAAATTCAGTAACTTTAGTCCTTAAATAATGTTACAATTCTATTCCATTTTCATCACACTTTTATGAAAGGCTTTATTAGATGTAATGGGGCTTTAAGTGATGATTTTTAAAATCAGTCTCCCTATTCTTAACTTTTTCTTTAAAAAAAATCCACAGTACTAGTAATAGTTAAATAAATGCAAATGTTGTGAAACAGATTGTAGATTTACTCCCCTCCCCCCAAGTTTAGTAAACTTACTAGAGTTTGCAAACTGTTGGGACATCCTACATGTGTATCTAATAGCTGACTTGGTGAAACCTTCATCTACTTGGAAAAAGTGCTTTATTCACTTGAAGGTTTTGATTAGAAATCTTCACACTACAAAGTACAATTTGCTTCTTTACCGAGGCACCTGAGAGGCACAAGCCGTCAGAGGAGAAGGGTACTTGAAAAATACTGCATTGGGAACGTTCATGGGAATGCTGGAAGGGCCTTTACTTAACTGGCCCCTAAGACTGTCTTGAGAATGGTCGGGAAGGCTCGCAGCACGATCGCAAGAAGAGTCACGGCTGTGGCTGGAGGGAGGGAGGGGCAAATCCACGTAAGGATGATCCAGACTCGCCAACTGCTCTTGTACTGAGGACACTCTTGGCTGATGGTCAAGGTGCCAGACTCTAGAGCTAAACAAGAATTGGATATCTATTCCCTGCATGAAACAAATTTGTAACCGGAATGGTCAAACTCCGTCCTTTTCAGTAGACCAGATGAAACCAGATGGCCAAGGGAACGTTGGAGGAGCCCGGGTTGCCATCCATCTTCAAAGTCGTTCACAGCCAAGCCACGGTGGCAAAAGAAATCAACCAGGTTTGCCTGGGAAATGTCTCCCAGCATGTTTAGCAGCGTGAGACAGGAAGATGGCAATGAAGTACAGCAAATGCTTAAGGGCTGGCCCCTAAAGAAAGGTGTGTGGGCGGATGTAGTGTCACTGGAAAAGGAGGAGGTGGCAGAACATCTTGTCATAAATGTACCTTTCGAATGACAACAGACAATCTGCATGTAAGTCTTGGATGGAACTTGTGAATGTAGGAAAAAAGTCACAGGAACTCCGTATAGCTTGTCCTGGGCCTAAAGCACTGACACGGGGGGAGGCTGCACAAACAGCAGTGTACACCGACACATAAGCTCACACAGACACAGAGTTTTTCTGTTTAGCTTCTTAACACGAGTCTCTTGCACGCCGGAGTCCATAGCAGCACACAGGTAGAGGACTCCAGCGAGAGAATTCTATGCTACTCAGAAAACACACAGCTCGCAAGACAACCTCCGGGCTTCCTCCTATGTGGTCTGTGCACTCAGGAGCAGTGAAACCGTTAGAAGCAAACATGTCAGGGAACAGTGATCACACCAAACACGGACACGCAGACGTTCGCAGACTAGACTCTAAATATAAACAGGGTGCTTGTCACCCATCACCTCCCACGCATACCCTCACATGCCCAACATGAGTCCGTTTGGCTGCATCGGAGATAGAGTCCAACACGGTCCTGTGTCCAAGAGATGTCATGGGAAGAAATGGCGGGAGGCCATAGAGTCTGGGCACCATAATCCCGGGGGGCTGCTTCTCTGGAGGAAACCCTTCCGTTGCCAGGCTTAGCTGGAAACCGTCCACTCAGATGGAAGAAGGCGAGGGGTGACAAAGTCAGGACAGGAGGAGGACGTTGCTGGGAAGCCAGGATCCTCGCAGGGAAAGCGTGTTACACAGCATTCAAGCGGATGTCCCCACAGGGAATTTCTGTCGGTGTTTCTGGAGTGATACCTTTAATAATACGCTGTGAGAAGAAAGATGCAATGTTATACACGTTTCTGAAAGTTGTCAGGGTTGCAAAAAACATGGCAGCATTAATGTTAAAACCAAAGGTATCAAAATCCGCTTCAGTACCAAGTTGGAATACTCCTATTGACCTTCCTTAGGAAGGGAATCGCCAATTTATCCTTTCCCCCGAATCTGTAATGTCATGGGAAAACCATGATGGCTCAGATGGGAGAAAGTGAGCCTGGATGGACTCCTGATGGCTGTGTGCGCCGTTGGGTGACCTGGGGAAGGGCACGGTTAGCATGGAGCCCCGTGACCGTCAGAAGAACAAGCGCGGCTCTCTTGGAGGAAGTGAGGACGTGAGGAAGGCGGCACTTGGCCTCCCACACTTTGGACATGTTCTCAGGAAGGACCGGGCCCTAGAAGGGCACCACGTTCGGTAAAACAGGATCAGGGAAGAAGAGGAAGACCCTCAAGGAGCTGGCTGGTCACGGTGACTGTAACAACGGGCTCGACTGTTAGCAACGGTGTGTGGGGATGGCACGGGGTCAGGCAGTGCTTCATTCTGTGATCCGGAGGCTAGCTAAGGGTCAGAGTGGACGTGGCAGCACCTTTCCTCTGACAAAGGAGATGAGGCTTTCTACTCCTGTAAGGAGGGACAGTCTCGGAAACCCGCACTTCTACCCTGTCCTACAGGGTGGCTATGAGTCTGAATCGACTCGCTGGCTGCGAGTGGAGTGTTCCTTTGGAAAAACAACTCATTCCTCTCCAAAGAAGGCTCCGCCTAGCCACACGGGACTTGGTGAGCAAACAGCATGCCAACTTGGCTCCTTATCTATTCCTTAGAAGAGGGCTGGGCAATGTCTGGTCCATGGGCAATGGGAAGCCTGAGAAATCGTCAATACTCGCTCACATCACACACCTCAAAGAGCAGCCATTCCAGCCATTGCATTAGGAGGGAGTTCATGAAATGTTTGACCAGCACGGCCCAAGACTGATGGTATAAATATCCAGCGGTCCTTGGCTGAAAAAAGATTCCCCTTCTCTGCTCTAGAGCACAGGATCCCAAACTTATTTAGCTTCTCATTACCATTGGGTCAATGCCAACTCACAATGACCGTATAGGACAGGACAGCACTGCCCCTGTGATTTTCCGAGCTGTAACTCTTCACAGGAGTAGAAAGCCCTCCCTCCCTGGGACTGGCTGGTGTTTTCGAACTGGTGACCTTGCAGTCAGCAACTCAACGTAACCACTATCCCACCAGGGCTCCTTTATTTGGCTTATTACTGCCCCCTTTCCAGGAAAAAAAAATTGCTCAGCGCCCCCCTGGAAATTAAAGATGTTTGTACTGCAGCCCACACATCAGGATAAAGTATCGCTATCTCTTTTTTCAGCACCTCTGGTTCGGTCCACCCCCACCACCCCCACCACCCCACAGAGCCATGCTCCAGAGCAGGGGTCCTCAAACTACGGCCCACGGGCCCCATGCAGCCCGCTGAGGACATTTATCCGTCCCGCTGGGTGTTTTTGCCACGTTTGTTTTTTTACTTCAAAATAAGATATATGCAGTGTGCATAGGAATCTGTTCTTTTTTTTTTTTTTTAATATAATTGAGGACCCCTGGTCTAGAGTCAGTGTCATTCGGTCACCATAATGACCAGGGTATTACTGATTTAATTAATCCACCTGCAAAAGGGTGCTGATTGGCACAATGGTGCAGAGCACCACGTAATTAAAATGTAAACGATGTGGCCGCTTAAGGCATCAATCCTGGAAGAAACAGAGGGGGAGGCTGGGGTCTCTCCTTCAGCAAGAGCTGAGCTGCAACAGAAGCCCCAGCAGCCGGTGCTTGGGTATGAAGTGTCTCAAACTGAAATGGTCTGAAACGGACAACTTGGTGTCAAGGCGACATGAGCAGCTCAGGGATGTGGGGAAGGAAAGAGAGTGGCCAGCTCCACAGATGCTCCACAGAAAGAAAATCTTTATTAAGTGACTTAGCGAAATCTCCGATGGCCCAAAGCCTGCACATATGGCGCGGAGATAAAATTGGATCTGAAAGCACATTGGGATTTATCGACCTGAGGTGAAACTCTGCTCCTTGGCCTTTTTCTTTTAGAGTGAAAGCGCATGTGGTCCCTTCCCCTCTTGTCTGGTTCCTGGTTTTAGAGAACCTCCGTCTGCGTAGGCAAGTCCCCAACCAAACTCACTGCCACAGCGTCAACTCTGACCCTGATGGCCCTGGAGGCCAGGACAGAACTGCCCCTGTGAGTTGTCCAAGACTGTAACTCTTAGCGGAGTAGAAAGCCTTGTCTTTCTCTCCAGGATCCGCTGGTGGTTTCGAACTATTGACCTCAAGGCATGGAATTAAGAAAGTTCTGACCTCATAGCGAATGAGATTCACAACATCGGACCTTTTGTGTCATTCCGGACCTTATTATTCAGGCACCCAAATCTCACACTAGGAATTGATGTTCAAAAAGAAAAACGGGACTGTAGAACTCTTCAGCCACCGAGACACACCAGTCCCTAGGCAAGAGCAACCCTACACACTGTCCACTCTCACAGATGACCACCGAGCCCCAAACAGATGCCACAGGATGATCTCCAGGCACTGGGAACTGGACACAGATGACTAGCTGGTCTGTAGGGGAGTCACGGTGTGCAGGGACAGAAGGGAGAACTCTATCTATATAGAACCAGGTCAGGGTAGCAGTGAACCACATTATAAAATAGTATTTCTGGCTTTTTTTTTCCATAATATTTAGGCGTATTTTTTTCCATTCACTTAAAAATATATAGTTTTCCTATATTTGGCTTTTGTACGTTAGCCTCCACTCACCCATTCAGCTGCCTGTCTCCCAAGAGACCAGGCCCATCTTTCCTTATTTTCTCAGTAAGCCATTGCTAGACTATTCTTGCTTTCAAAATCTGCCAGACTCTGGCCTTCTGCAAGGTGATAACCAGCTAACCTGAGAAATGGGGTCCTGCTCACATCTTCACGAGCACTTACTTACTGGGGATCCCTTCCACTCTCTTTGTGCAGGGGACTAGGGGTTCTGCCACAATCACTGAATCCAGGGACGACTCCCACGTTGACGTGGTTGGGCTTCAGGTGTTCAGGATTCCTCCAAGCTGCTCCCTCTCCCCCATCACTGGTGGTTCACACCATAAACCCCAACCTTGCATATGGCGAGGGCAAAAAAGAGTTAGGATATTGACTTTTCCTTTAGTTTTGTTTTGTTTTGTTTTTAACCCAAAGATTTCACCAGTGGCCTCCCTCCTTCCCAGGAGATAATCAGAGACTGTAGTGTGGGATTATGAATAGATAAGATTGAGAGCCTTCTGGTGAGTGTCATGTGACGGTTGAAGGGCTGGCGAGTGATGAGCAAGAACCCCTTTCTCCCGGAAACGTTACCGCCCCCTCTCTTGCACACTCATACATACCTCCTTAAGGGTCCCAGGAGTGGTGATGAGCCGGTAAGTGATATACGTTGGGATGCAGATGAAAGACGAGGTCCCTATACAGTAGCCCAGGATGACGCTCCAGTGCGGGTAACTATACTGGAAAAGCCGCAGCTGCGGGGGGCTCATCAGGAAACTACAAATGATGAACTGAAACAGAAATTCCAAGAAACACTTAAAATCTCAGATGAACCCAAGCAGATGGAGGAAGCTCTGATAGCGAGAACAGCAAATGCTAGTGCTAAGATCCTTCCAAGAGACGCCCGGTGTGTGAGAATATCCTAGATTGAACTCCAACACACGCCACGTCCCCATTCCTGTACTCAGAGGCAACCATCCAACGCCGGACCAGACTCGCTGCCATCGAGTCCATGCTGACTCATAGTGACCCCACACACACACACACACACACACACACACTGGGTTTGTGAGACCGTAACTGTTTGCAAGAGTAGAAAGCCCAGTCTTTCTCTCATGGAGCTGCTGGGGGGTTTGAACTGCCGACCATGTGAATGGCAGCCCAATGCATAACCACTGCACCACTGGGGCTTCTAAGGAGCTTGTTTTTGTTTTCCTCCCTCCCCACCCCAGGGCAACTCCTGTGGGGTGGAGGCCGGAGCCTTAGAACGCTCTTGAGGGGAGTTACAGCAGCCCCTCTGCAGAGGAGAAGACCCTGGCTTCCGGCTCGCCAGCCTGTGGTGGACGAGTTTGGACAACGCTCCCAGCTCCTGGGAGCCGTGCTGTTGTTGCTCGTGGCTCGAGTGGATGCCGATGTGCGAACCCACTGTGTGCGGAGCACAGCTGCTCCATCAGGGCTTCAAGGCAGCTCCCTTTTGGAAGTCAATGCCCGGGCCTGATTCCGGAGGCCCCTCTGGGTGCGTTTGAAACACCAATTTTGCAGCCAGTGGTTGAATGCTGAACTGCTTCCGCCACCCAAGGAACCTCCAGCCAGGCCCAAGGGCTCACATTCCTCTGTGCTCCATGGTTCCTTGTCCCTGTGCTTCTCAGATGTGATTGTTGGGGGTCAGCTGGAAGGGAGGTCGCTTGTGTCCAGGAGAGGAAATACGAGTCTCAAGACCTGCAAAGTACCAAGGACGGGTTCTTTCTCCTCCTCCTTCATGACGCTCTTCGCCCAGGGATTCAACAGGAAGAGTGCGGTCCACAGGGCATCTCAGCCAGGAATGACTGACTGCCACCAGTCCTCATGCTGAAAGCGTGCTGGGAGGTCCAGCGCACATTTCCACCAGGAAACGCCCTGCCATGAGCCTCCGATCCTCAGCCTGCGAGGGCTTGTTTGTCATTTTATTCTCATTTGGTTTCCAGAGAGTGTCTGTGCCCTAGTAACCACTGTGCCGAAACCCTCATTGCTCTTGATTTAATTTAATTTTATTATTTCATCGTCGTAAAGGAGACAGTAATGTAAATGATTTGTGTGGGTAGACATCTATTTCTATCTGGCTCTCTTTTCCCCCCCTTTGTCTGTAGGTAATAAAGTGAGAAATTGTTAAACACACATCCATCTTCTGGGCAGTGTTAGCCTAAGTCCAGGAGGAAGCTCACAAAATAGGAGCCTGGCCAATCGAAGCCATCCCTCTCCCAACTTACTCTCCTCACCACCGGGCCCAGCTACAAAGGGAGCTAATTTTGGAACAGGGGAACAGCGGGTTGGTTAGGAGCCATCCCCGTGGCGGCTCGTCTTGTCTTGACGTCAGGTGGAGACAACCCAGCGCGGCTCTCCGAGAGTGCACGCTCTTGGCATGGCCAGCCGCTGTTGTTTTGGAAACTCCCTCACATGTCCCAGCCTCGCCTGGTTCCTATACAATAGTTTCTTTTTTTGTAAGGTGACTTCAGTGAGAAAGAGTATTTTTAGCAAGCTACTAGCTGTTTACTTGAAGCACCCTTAACAAACCCCAAGCAGGGGCGCTATGAAGTAAACCCAGGAGTAGAAGACAGATCTGGCCTCTACTTAATCGGGCACTTGAGCTCTTGGCTGGAGTGCAGGTGAGTGAAGGGGACGTCACGGGAATTATGAGGAACAACATGTCTGAGGCTGACTGTCCCTGGATTCTGTTGGACAAACAAACCCATTGACCGGACATCACGAATGTACCCACCCTTTCAACCGACCCCAGACCCCATCCCTGGGACCACCTGGCAGCCCAACAGCAGACAGGCCTAGAGTGTGGACAGTAATGCTCTTGGTCAGCGTGTGCCTCAGAGCCATCACTCACAGGAGACCAACGGGCAGCCTTGACCCACAAGCAAAGCTCTGGCAATGCAGGTGGTAAGAGGATGAAGCGAAGCAGGGAGAAGTGGGAGGGGTGTGGCTGCAGCTATTGTAGAATAGAAAACGAATTTGCTCTGTAAACGCTCACCAGCCATAGGGCTTACCCTGTCCGCCGGCCCACTTGAAGTCTACAGAAATGCCAGTAGCCCAAGGCCTGGGGCCAGGGTGAGGGTGAGCCGCCCAAGGCCCTCGCCTCCGGAGCCAGATTTCAGAGCGGCCCAAATTCAGGGATCCCCGTCAGTGATCTGGATGTTAAGGCACTCTTTTTAAAAGGCAGGCCCTGAGCGGGCGGAGTGAGAGAAGGCAGGTCCTGTGTTCTTTCAAATGCGGCTGTTTTGCGGTTGTTGATGTTTCGTGCATTCATGTGGAGTTGGGAAACATGGCATCGCATCTTGCTTATCCTCGCTTACTCTGCTGTTTGGTGCCGCCTTCCATGATTTTGCACCGATGTGAGTACCTGACCCACGTCTGGGCGCTGCCCCTGGTGTCCTTAGAGAAGAGGGCGGCAGAGCTAGAGCTGCTGCCCAGGATTGGTGTGCGCTAGGGCAAGGGGTGCATAATAGATGCGTTGCATGGTTACACTGAGCAGGAGAGGGATGTAGTATAGTTACTGAAGTCCAGACGGCTGTGTGGCGGTGGAAGTCAGAATGGGGACCATAGAGACAAGGGATGGGAGCGGGAACACAAGGGACTGATGAGGTGCTGGTTATGGGTTTGTTCCTTAACATGGGTTTGGTTACCTCAGGGACCCATGGGGAGCTACAAACCATGAACAGCTTCAGCTACTATTGGAAACATTGGAGGTTTGAGTCTTCCCAGAGATGCGTCAGAAAAAGAAGGCCTAGAAATTCACTCCCCACCTTCTGGCCTTGGAGAACTCCGCGGAGCACACACAAGGGGCGCTGGGAGTCAGAATCGACTTCGCAGCAACTGGCGGTCGCCCTGGTTGGATTAGTGGGCTCGATTTGAGCTGTAACTTATTTATATTCTTGGCTATGTATCTGAAGGAGCTTTAAAATGTTTGTGGAAAAGTTCCATTACCTTTTCATTCAAATTGTCTACAAACTTTTGGAAGCTGCTTCATATATACGTGGTGTGATGAATCCCTTTTATAGGGTCTTTCTTGCCATGTTCTTGTGACTCCCACCAAAAGTCTGGGTCGGACTGTGCATATAGGGTGCTTGGGGCTCACCGATGGGTTTGGGCAGTGAGTTAGTTAATTGTGCCAACCTGGCCGATAATCACATGTGGGGCTAATTGAAAGACCGAGGGATAAAAAAAGGTGGTGAGCCTCGCCTTTCTAGTTCTCGGGTCTCTTGCTTTGTGATGGTCGCACCAGGGTGCAACTGCCTTAGCAGTTCCCTGCTTCAGCTTGCAAGATTGACTTCCTACAAGACATCCCCAAGGAGAAGCCACATGCATCTATCCTGATGCAGCCCTGGGTGCTGGAACAGCCGTGAGGAGACCCCTGCTAGTGCTGAGATGCTTATTCGTTCACTGGCTCAGCTTTCCTCCTGCAGTCGGCATCATAGCCTCTGTTTTGTGAGGTGAAGGACTTTGTGGACTGGTGTTGGGTTAATGGGTTAATGTTGGACTTGTGGGCTTGGGCAGCATTGGGTTGGGATGTTTTCGTGATGCACACTTTCTTTACATAAAACTCTCTTATACATGAGTTGCTGTGAATTTGTTTCTCCAAAGCACCCAGACTAATACAGGCAGCTTGCTTATAATGCAAACAAAGAGGATATTCATTTGTAGGGGTGGGACCATGCAAAGGAGATGTATGACACTCTAACAAAAGGATTGGTCCACGTGGCCAGCCTGTGAGGCTTAAAATGAGCTACTCCAGAGAGGGAAAGAGGGGGGACCTTTCCACCAAGCAAGGAGAGCTAGGAGAACCTCCTAGACCAGGCGTCCTCAAACTACAGCCTGCAGCCCACATGCGGCCCGCTGAGGACATTCATCCGGCCCACCGGGTGTTTTTGCCCCCTTTATTTTTTTACTTCAAAATAAGATATGTGCAGTGTGCATAGAAATTTGTTAAAAAAAATTTTTTTAACTATAGTCCCACCCTCCAACGGGTCTGAGAGACAGTGAACTGGACGCCTGTTTAGAAAATTTGAGGACCCCTGTGACCTCGACCCAGGAGACGGAGGGAGGGAGGGAGAGGGAAGGTGAGAAAACAGCTGTAACACTAGAGATGGCACGAGATGGTGAGAGCAAGGTGGTTCCAGTGGAGAAACTGACCCAGGGAGCTAGAAAGCTGGGAGCCTCTGGGCAGGACAGTCGATGGCAGAGTGGGGTACCTCGGGAAACTTGCTGGCAGAGCAAGGCTTGCTGACCCACCGACCGAGAAAGCCGAGTGCCTTTGGTCTGAGGCTTTCCGGCAGAGGGGGCTACCTTTGGGACTTGCTGGTAGAGCTAAAGGGCTCTGAGACACTTGTTGAGCAGGAAAGAGGCCAAGCCATCCCAAGAGGTCAAGGGACTAAAGATTGAGAAGCCAAAGTCTTAGAGAAAGGCCTGACTCCAGACACAATTGAGAAGCTGCCTTGATGGGAGACCTGTATCCTAAGCTGTTCCTATCCTGAATTATAACCTGTTACCTCCTTACTAACCCCCCTAATTGTGAGTATGGTCTGTGAGTGCTATGTGGCCACTGCTATGAACTATCAAACCCAACAGAGAAGAAGAGCGTGTCGTGGGAGGGATGGCTAGAGTTGGAATTGGTAAAACGTTTGGAGAGAGGCGGTCAGAAAACCTATACTGCTATTTCTTACAATATGTTACACTGAAAGAAAATGGATATTAGTAAGTATTTGAGAGTGAGTCTTTCCCCAGGGCAAGAGGGAGAAGAGATATGATAACTCACCAGGAGAAACAGAGGGCTGATGGCCACCCAGCAGATCTTCCAAAACCATCCAGGGCTGAAGCCAAGCATTTCCTTCACGTCGCTGCAGAACTGAGTGATGCCTGCATTACCCAAAGAGAAGGAGACCGCCTGAGAGGGGGCATGGACTGCCCCTTTCCCATGATCCTCAGGGGTGTCGTGGGCCCCAGGATCAGCACTGAGAATGAAGTGGAGCGAGGCGTTGGAATTCCGACTCTGGTCAGAGAGAACAGTGCTGGACTATCTCGGAGAAGGCCCTGAAAGTGACAGCGAGGGGCCTGTCACAAAGCTACCTTTTCATGGCAAGCACAGCTCTTTCTACCTAAAGTGGAAGGACTAGTCTAGAGTCCTCTGCCACACTGCCCTCCTAGGATCTCCACGTGGTCTATCTGCAGTCTATATGTGTGTGTGTGTGTATGTATGATGTTTACAGAAATATTAGCTGTTATGGATTTTCTAGAAAAGAAAGGTGCGTTTGTCAGTGAGTGGCGAAACTGCCCAACAGAGACTGACTTGGCTCACCCCACTCCCCCCCTCGCCCCCCCTGCCCTCCCCCCACTCCCGGGCACTTTCAAAGCAACGTGTGAACCACAGGATTGCCCATTCATACACCAGATCAAGATCAAGTTTTTCTATAAAAAGGAACTGCAGCAGAAGTGAGAGCCGCGGACTCCAGCTGGTGAGAAATGGAGAAGGCAGGGGTTGGGGGGTTAGGGTGGGGTGAGTGGGGGGTAGGGGTGGCCCAGTGGTTGCGTCCCCAAGAGCTCCCAGCACGGCTGCTCCATCACACGCTTCGCACTTTGTCCTCTGAACTGAGTGGAGCGGATTTCTTCTCTAAAGCAAAAAGCAGACCATGGGCCCATGTGCCCCCTGCTCACAATGGGGGCCTGCCTTCAGGCTGTGTGAGGGCTGCCACGCTGAAGCTGTTTTATCCCGGAAGCTAAGAAAATAAAGATGTTAGAGTGAAAGAAGGCATCTAGTTGACTTTAAGGATGAAGAGAGGCCTCTCCGAACTTGGTTTCCATCACTTCAATTGCCTATGTCCTCTTCATCCTCGCCCAGGGGTCCCCTCTGCACCACCCCGAGGGTTCTTCCCGATCAGAATCCACCCTAGAACCCCAGGGGCCGTTGAGTGGACTCCAAGCTCTAGCAACGCTATGGGACAGAGTGGCCCTGCCTCACAGGGGTTTCCAGGCTGACTCATCTTCACGGAGAAGGAGCGCTTGGGGCGCAGTGGGTTAGAGTGGGCGGCTAACTGCAAGGTCAGCGGTCAAAACCACCTACTGCTCTGGGGGAGAAAGATAAGGCTTTCCACTCTGTAAACAGTTCAACGGTTCTGCTTTGTTCCAGAGGGTTTCTAACGGCCCGAACCACCTGGGTGGGGAGTGAGACTCTTGAAGGAAGCCGACCCCTGCGTCTTTCTCCCTGGGGACTGGTGGGTTCAAACTAGCAACCTTTCATTCACAGCTGAGTGCTTAACTCCCATGCCACCAGGGCTCCCGAGCCAGGGGAGTTAGGATTTCACAGGGGCAGGCAACGCAAATGGGACCATTCTAGCCCCTTCCCTAGGCTTCAGGCCCCTGGCCTCTCAGCTCTGGCTTGCCACCTTGAAACTGGAGCCACCTATATCACAGCATCGCACCCTCAGACAAAGTGTCCACGGAATGCTCGCTCCGGGTGGCCATCCGATCCTCCTCTCCAGCTCTCCGTGGGCCGGCTCCAGCCTGGCCCCTCGGGATGAACAGCTCCGGAAACCCACAGCCGTGCCCTTCGGCGCCTGGGCAATGTGGTGCCCAGCACGGGAGGGCATGACCTAAGGCCCAAGGAGGCAATCAGCTGCCACGATCTTACGACGACGGGAAGTCGGATCTTGTGAATGCGCCTGCCCTTCTCGGGTGAGCTGGGCCTTCCTGGTCCTGTGACCCCCGGGGGCTGGCTGCTGGCTGAGGGGCGCGCCTTACCGTAGAACCAAGACACGGCCACCGCTTCTATGAGCACCACCGTGAGGACCGCGGGTCCCGTGGCATATTCCTCCAGCAGCTTCACCACGTAGGCCCCTCCCTGGAAACGAGAGCGGGACCCTGTTACCGCCACCCCTTCTGCAGCAGTGTCCGGCTCGCCAGTCCTGCGCCCAAGTGGCATTGTAGAACGTGCCCACAGTTTGCCATGGCTGATTGTTCAGAAGCCGATGCCCAGGTGCCTCAGCCTTCTGCTGAGCGGCCAAGCCCCCTCCCCAGGGGCCCTGCCCAAGGACAGCCTGCACAAGCTACTTGGGGGTCATTCTGAGAACTCATCCCCTTGGGCCCAGGGCCTACGCCCTGAAGGCTTTGCCAAGTGGGCCAGGTTCCATGCCACCCCATGGGCACTCTCACTTAATCGCTTCCTCTCCCCACAGGTCTGTGTCCAACTCCAAGTGGGATCTGTTTCCAACGTTCGTCTCCCTCTAGCCTGCAGGGTGCCTACCTCCAAAGACCGGGACACCCAGAGGGCGTCCCTGAGAGCAGAGACACGGAGCAGGCTGGCCCCACCGCGCCTTCTGCCCTGACCTACAACTCCCTCGGGTCCTCTCAGAGCCGCACCACCACCATGACGGGGATGCCCCAAGACACGCATCGGCAAAGCCTGCCTTGAGGTGGGAGATACAAGTGGAGGAGGTATTGTCTTCACACACGGACACTATCGGTCTCAGGAATTGGAGGAGAGGAGGAGGGGCCGGGGAGGGGGAGGAGGAGCCTAGAGAAGGTGGACTTCTGAGCCATGGCACATTCTCTGGAGTCGCCAACAAGAGATGCCATCTGTCCAGGGCAGCACTCCCATGAAAGCAGCCTTAAGCAATGAAAACCCACCGGAAAATAGGTTCTAGGTGTTCTCTCGCTGTTTTGCCCAGGCTGACATCGAGAAGGATCTGCTGTGAAATGCTCACAGCCTCCAGATCCCAAGCAAGGGGGCGACTTTTCTTCTGACCCGGGTGACAGATTGTAATGGCGGTGAAAGGCTCTCCCATTGGCCCCGAAGGCAGGGCGTTGTGTGGGATGGGAGGAGTCCGCCCCTCCTGGTAGAGTGGCGCTTCCCTGTCACAGGTGCAGGCGGTGGTACTCACAAAGGTCAGGGTGGCCAGGGATCCGAAGAAGCAGGTGACGACCACGCCAAGCACGCACCACTCCCTGCGCTTGGCCCAGACATGTGGGAACTCATCCAGCACCGCCGTGATCACTCCCTCCAAGCCTGCAAACTGAGAGGGCCGCACGGCAAGGCGGTCACCAACGTGGGGGCTTGGGGATGAGCCTGGCACCTCCTGGGACAGTGAGCAGGAGGGAGGGAGGGTCTGGAAGATTGCCCAGGGACAAGCCAAGCCAAGCCAGTGCCCCAGACCCACCAGCCCATAAAGCTGGGGCTCCACCCTAACCAGTGCAAGGCACTGCTTCATACACTAGACAGAATCTGAGACCCAGGATGGCCCTTATCTTGGTGTTCAGGGGCCTGATCTGGTCAAGGGACCGTGTACAAGAATAGCAGTTCACGTCTGCTGGGCCCTTGTGATAGACACTTCCCTTACCCGGTGCCCTTAATGACGCTAACATCCTAAAGAGCGGTGAGTGCTGTCACTGAGGAGTGAACAGGGGGCTTGGGGAGCTGCAAGAGAGGGCAGCCAACACTAACTTGGGCTGGGCCAGCTGTGGGGAGAGTGAGTGGGTACGGCTTCCTCCTCCTCCTCTTGCTCTTTCAGTCCTGTCCCTCCCTTTCACTCACCGTGCTGTCCAAGCCCAGTGTGATCAACATCAGGAAGAAGATGATGGCGAAGAATGTGGATGCCGGCATGTTGGCGATGGCTTCGGCATAGGTGATGAAGAGGAGGCTGGGGCCTGAGACGGTGGGGAGAAGGGGAGTGGTCACCAAAGCCTGCCCTACCCAGCGGTCACAGGGGAAACCTCAGCCAGACGGGGGGCTACAAAGACCCCGAGGCACCAAGACTAGCCAAGTTGTGCACAATCACAATTTCCATTATATCATAATTCGGTGTTTTGTTTGGAGGCCAGGGTCAGGATCTCCGAAGTCCCCCCACATTTAGCACCGTCGGCCGCCTTAGCTCCTGAAGAGTAGGAAACATTCATTTCATTTCATTAAGTCCAGAGTGGCTTTGGGCTGTCTGAGGAACATGGCCCCAACCTCTCGTGAGCTTGCTAGGGGAACCTCCTCAAGGTGGGGGTGGGGGGGAGGCGGAGAGGAGCAGAGCACCCCAAAAGGCCAAGCATACATTGTAGTGAGCCAGATGCTCTGTGACTCCCCCTCATCACGTTCCGTCGCCCTTTCTCCACATCAGCTGCTCTTTTCTTTATCCGTGAGAACCTCATCACACCCGTGCCTGGCAGGGGCAGGGGCAGGGGCAGGGGCAGGGGCAGGGCAGTCACGCTGTGTTTCTCCCCAAGGGGCAGGTCTAAGGATTGTTAATCATTTGCTTTGGGATTTGGTCATCTAGACCATAGGTTCCCAAACCTATTTGGTCTACCGCCCCCTTCTCAGGAAAAAAATTACTCCGTGGCCCACCTGGCAATTAAAACATCCATGAGTCGGCATTGACTGGATGGCACGGTTTTTGTTGTTGTTGTTGTTGTTGTTGTTTTGGATCATTCCCATGTCCTCCAGGGGACGGTATCACCCATTTTAGGAAACACTGATCTAGACCCAAAGGCCTGAAGTCATCCTTCCTAACCCGCAGTATAAATAATCAAGCCTCACGATTGGGTGCCAGGAATTTGTCCCTGGGCCTGAGCACGTGGGAAGGTTGGGTTTCTCCACAACCCTTTGGAACATATAATGGAAATATCTTTTACAAACAATCCTATAAACTTAAACCCTGCTCTGCAAACAATACAGCCGACATAGGAGGGGCTTTAGAAAATGCGCGGAAAAAATCCCACGGTATTTTCCTCGCAATTTTCCATGAACTTTTTGAAGCCCAGTCCTTTGGGAGAGTCCATTTCCCTGTTGACTGTTCGTTGAAAAGAAGATTCCTTCAGAAGACAGCTATTCGCAGTCAGAAGAAACCCTAGCCCAGCCAGCTAGGAGCGAGAGGCCTACAGAGAACCAGAGGTTTACCTGCATCTTTGGCCACCTCGGACACATCCTCGTTCCTCATCTCAGCCATGTACCCGAGCACTGTGAAGATGACAAATCCCGAAACGAAGCTGGTCATGCAGTTCACCACACTGGTCACCAGGGCATCTCTGGGGGAGAAGAGGGAGGTGGTGGCTGAGACATATCTGTGGTCTGTTCACCCGTCCCGCCTGAGCCCGGCCTGTCTTTGTAAAAGCTGGTGATGCTCAGGTCTGGCCTGTCCTCCCCTCCCCTCTCCCGACACCCTGTCCTCTCAGGCAGGTCAGATCATCTGGTACCACCATGCTTGGCCAAGGGTGGGCTGGTGTCAGCGGGGGAACCAGCAGGTTAGGGGCTGTTTTGAGAGATGATCCTGTTTCAAAACAGCGTAACTTCCTGTTGGTGGTGGCTGCTGTTGAGTCCGGGAGACCAGAGTAGAAGCCTACAAAGGGTTTCTAGGCCGGGACAGGAGCCCTGGTGGTTTGATGGGTTACTCTTTGGGCTGCTAACCACAAGGCCAGCAGTTCAGGACCACTAGCTGCTCGGTGGGAGCAGTCTCAAAGCAGAGACAGGTCTACTCTGTTCTGCAGGGTGGCTAAGACTTGGGACTGATCCCATGGCAGTGAGTTTTGGGTTTGTTTGATATCTTGGAAGCAGATTGCTAAGCCCTCTGGGTGAGTTTAAGCATCCACCCACACCTTAGACCTGTCCATTTCCAACAAGTCTTGCTGTGAAACATGGGTCGGAGTAGAGACCAGGAGAGGGTCTTTGGCTCACAACTGTAGAGTCCTCAGATCTAGACTTTGTGTGAGGGTGATGTGTGTGCATATACATAATAATATAATATATAATTATACACATTATACTACATAACATATTAAATTAATGCAATTAATTTATTAATAAAAATCAACACAATAAACTATCTCATATCTCATGTGTTATATAATATATGTTATATATACTATAGAATGTATTATATATAAACAGTATATCTTTATCTATATACACACATACACACATATAAGGAGGCTTCTAAGTGGATGGGAATGGAATTGAAAGCTAATAAACTTTTTTAAGTTCTCCCATGCATCATGCAACCTTTGTCAATTCCATTTTTTCCCTTTCCAGTGGCACTAATTCGGTGCACTTTAGTGCCATTGGTTACACTCATTGGGATTTGCAAGCATCACCTGTATCTGTTGTCCCCAAATGTCCCACCACCATGGACAGAGGAGCAGCACTCTCTGAAAATGCTCTTCCCCCACCCCCACCGCGGCAGCCACTCATGAACTCTGATGTCCAGGGATGTGCCTATTCAGGTTGAATCTTTGACAGTCAGTGGAAATGAAGTCAGAGACTGTCCCAGTCCCCGCCCCCCCACATACCAAACCAGGCTCACTGTCCTGGGGCAACACCGACTCAGAGTGACCCTGAGGGACAGGGCAGAGCTGCCCCTGTGAGTTTCTGAGACTGTGACTGTGTGGGAGTAGACAGCTCGGTCTTTCTCCGCATATTTGAAAGCTGACATCACCATGCAACCCCAAGACTAATACAAGATCATACTGTCCAGGGTTCACGTCACCTCTTAGTTAAAGAATAAATACTGCACTTCTCGCATAAACAGCACAATGAAGTTGCTGAGCATTGCCAACAGAGGTAGAACGTTTTTGAGAGCCAAGTCTAAAGACGGTGAGTAATATTCAAATGATAATCCTTGTTTGGTCAAACATTCTGGGATGAGATTTTGCCACAAAAATGATGGCAGGTGGTGTATCAGTGCCTAAATGATCACCTTGTGATTTTGGGTGGTAAATCCATCAGCTAGTTAAGTTGAAACATTTCCTATACATTGCAGTTCGTGTAGCCCTGCTTTGGATTTATTTTTAAGCAGCTTTTTAGCACGGAGGGACTCTCACTAAATAGAAGTGAACTAGCCTCTCTCAACTGCTGAGTGGTGCAGGGAGGGGGTGTTCTCATTTGGGTGGGTGCTCTGGGCCGGGTGAAGGCCCCTGGACCCCACCTCCAAGTCTTTCTCCTTCCACTCGCCCCGCTTTGAAGCTTTGCTGGGGGGACGGCAGATACTCACTGATAGCAGTTGTTGTTGAATTTGTTGTAGCTAGCAAAAGCCAGTAGGACCCCAAAGCCAGGACCGAGAGAGAAGAAAATCTGAGCCGCAGCGTCCACCCACACCTGGAACACAGCAGAGGGGAGGGCCTGGTGTGTCGGGGGCGCAGGGGAGCGGGGCGAGTGGGCGGTGCCTCACAAGCCTCCATCTATGAAAGGCTTCCAAGGCTCACGCAAAGACAGCCATTTATCAGGAATACAGAAGGGGATCGCCATCTACCAACCCCATTGCCTCAACCATGCGTTCATGCTAGTATTTCGGGGTAAAGGGTCATGGCAGTTGGAAGCCAAGTTTCCGTTGGCCTTGCTGTCCCATTTGGAGGAAGGGCGAGCTTCAGGTAGTCAAACCCACTCCTTGTCCCCCAGCATCTTACCCCCGTTTCCAAGAGTTTCTGCCAGTTGGGTTTCAGGTAAAAGAGGACACCCCGCCAGGCTCCAGGGAGGGTGGCTCCGCGCACCAGCAGGACTGAGAGGATGATGTAAGGGAATGTCGCTGTCACCCACACCACCTGTAGGGAGGGGACGTCAGGAAATCAAGTGAGCTGGGATGCTGTCAGAGGGGGAAAGGACACTGGGGGTGGGATTAGCCCTCTGCCCTAAGTTCCTGGCAGGTTTTCTAACAGGAAGCGCTCAGGAGGGAAGAAGGCTGATGTGGGTGTCATTCATTCGTGAAGTTCACCGAGAAAAGAGACCCTACCTTTTCCTTCTGTACCTTCAGGAGGTGTCCTGGGAAGAGCACAGGCTTAGAGTCAGAGATGGGGACTTGAGTCATCGCTCCGCAGTGCCTTCGCGTTGGGCTCAGACACTGCTCAGTGGCATGCCATGCCCAGGGTGTGCTATATGTCCCACCACAGGGACCCAGGGGGCTTTCACTGGCTGATTTTTGGAAGTACATTTCTGGGCCTTTCTTTCTTCCTTATTCCCCTGCGTCCGGGAGCTCCAATGAAAGCTACTGCACGTCATAGCACCGTGTGAGCCTCCATGACAGACACGTCACCAGCCGGGTCCCTCACCACTCGGAAGGCGGGGATTCTCCCAAAGAACCCCTTCCGCCCTAACATGGCCAGGACGAGAAACCCTTATAAAATAGCTGGCAGGACACAGTATCACTTAAAAACAAACACCCCCAACTAGCAC